GCTGGAGCGTCCATGAATCTGTCATGGGGTTTGGGGGCGTCCATGAACCTGTCATGGGGGAGGGGGAGCGTCCATGAACCTGTCATGGGGGGAGGGGGAGCGTCCATGAACCTGTCATGGGGGAGGGGGAGCGTCCATGAACCTGTCATGGGGGAGGGGGAGCGTCCATGAACCTGTCATGGGGGAGGGGGAGCGTCCATGAACCTGTCATGGGGGTGGGGAGCGTCCATGAACCTGTCATGGGGGGGGGGAGCGTCCATGAACCTGTCATGGGGGTGGGGAGCGTCCATGAACCTGTCATGGGGGGGGAGCGTCCATGAACCTGTCATGGGGGGGTGGGGAGCGTCCATGAACCTGTCATGGGGGTGGGGAGCGTCCATGAACCTGTCATGGGGGGGGGAGCGTCCATGAACCTGTCATGGGGGGGTGGGGAGCGTCCATGAACCTGTCATGGGGGGGGGAGCGTCCATGAACCTGTCATGGGGGGGGTGGGGAGCGTCATGAACCTGTCATGGGAGGGGAGCGTCCATGAACCTGTCATGGGGGGGGGAGCGTCCATGAACCTGTCATGGGGGGTGGGGAGCGTCCATGAACCTGTCATGGGGGTAGGAGCGTCCATGAACCTGTCATGGGGGGGTGGGGAGCGTCCATGAACCTGTCATGGGGGGGGGGAGCGTCCATGAACCTGTCATAGGGGGGTGGGGAGCGTCCATGAACCTGTCATGGGAGGGAGCGTCCATGAACCTGTCATGGGGGGGTGGGGAGCGTCCATGAACCTGTCATGGGGGCCGGGAGCGTCCATGAGACAGAGAGTCGACTACAAGGGGTCAACAACCCCTTGTCTGGCTCGATCTTTCTCCTTCGAGAGCCTCGCCCACACTACCTTTTCCAGAACGTGAGAGAGAGAGAGAGAGAGGAGAGAGAGAGAGAGAGAGAGAGAGAGAGAGAGAGAGAGAGAGAGGCAATGGCTGGATAAGACTTTTATATCAACAAAAAGCTATTTACAGTCAGCCGAACTTCACTTCCAAGTCCAAATGGATTGACTTGCCTTCCAGCTGTAGACGTGAGGTTAAGGACTGATGAAACTGTATACTAGGGCAAATGGGGTCATTTCCTTGAAGCAGGCTGGTGAACAAGGAAGAGAGAGAGAACTCCCTCGAGAGAGAGAACTAGGAAGAACAGTTCGAGAACACGAATCTCAAACATGGAACTCACACCTCGTAAGAATTTCATTTATTGTTTAGAAAGTCGGAAGATCTGCCGCAAGCCAAGTTAGTAAGATACGAGAGATGAGATACGAGAGCATGCACGAAGTACTCTTTCTACCGACATGTTGTACAAGACGTCGAGGACAAGGTCCTGGTAGACCAAACTCTCACAAGTCGAACCTGGCCTCAGGCCGGGCTTGGGGAGTAGAAGAACTCCCAGAACCCCATCAACCAGGTAAACAATAGAACACAGACGATAATAGAACACCGAGGCGGAATAGAACACCTAAGGATAGCCACACGCGAGAACCAGACAACATTACAACTCCCGTAGGAGAAGTGTAATTAAAGCGGAATAAACATGAGTTAGAATTAGAGATGATAGAAGCAACCTTCAATCAGTGCTTCAAGAGGCGGGGCACCAGAGCTAGAACCCGTTCTAGTCACGTGTAGGTAAGCTTAACTACGTGCGCCACCACACGACATTGTAGGATAATGACATTGTCACCATTGACAAGGTCATCGGGGTACGGATGGGCTAATTAAACACGAATCCATTTTTATATTTTTATTTACTTTTTGTTATTTAAGTTCTATGTAGTTTTGCTATAATTAGACGCTGGTTATTTTGAGTTTAATTAGTGTGTGTGTACTCACCTATTTGTGCGTGCAGGATCGTGCTCCAGCGCTCGGTCCCCGCTTTGTGTGTGTACTCACCTAGATGTACTCAGATGTGCGTGCGTGGTTGAGCTAAGCTTCTAGCCCCGCCTTGCAAACGTTCTTACATTAATACAATGACTCATTTCTCACGCTTTTCAAATATTTACATTTCAAATTTTGATGACCAGACCACACACTAGAAGGTGAAGGGACGACGACGTTTCGACAACATTCTCAACACAATCGACTTGAGAATGGTCCAGGACGGACCGAAACGTCGTCCCCGCCAAACACACACCGAAACTACGACGTTGGTACAACGTGCGAACAAGATTTAACACCTCCTAACCAGTTATAACAACCAATATAACAAGTTGTAACAACGCTCTAATACGTCATAAACACGTTAAGCCAAGATGTAACAACTTTATTACAAGTTGTAACAAGCGGAAAATAGAGACAGTTTCGGTTTGTGTTTCCAGGGGATCGTCCCTTTACCTTCTAGTGTGTGGTCTAGTCAACATACTTTAGCCACGTTATTGTGACTCATCGCCTGCATTTGAAATTTTGAATCGAATTTGCTTCATAGACTTTTACGCCTAACCTATTCCATTTATTGAAAGTTCTAACACTGAAAAAGTTCTTTCTGATGTCTCTATGGCTCATTTGCGTCTCTAGTTTTCATCTATGACCCCTCGCTCTGCTGTTCCTAGCTTTGAACAGCGCTGCTTTGTCTACTTTGTCTAATGTCTAATTCTAATGTCCCTTAGAATCTTTGACGTTGTTGTCATGTCCTCCTCTCTCTCTCTGTAAGTAAGGTCTGGAAGCTAACAGGTCAGGGTCAGGGGTCAGCAAACATTTACACAAACTTACGAAGCCTGTAAATCATTCAACCACTTGGTCTGGAAGGTAGAGCGATGATCTCGCTTCATGCAGGTCGGAGTTCAATCCCCCGAGACCGTCCAAGTGGTTGGGCACCATTCCCTCCCCGTGTCCCATCCCACATTAGTCGTAATGGTTCGGTGCTTTCTCCTGATAGATAGTCTGTGGATAGTTAGTCTGTGGATAGATAGTCTGTGGATAGATAGTCTGTGGATAGATAGTCTGTGGATAGATAGTCTGTGGATAGATAGTCTGTGGATAGATAGTCCTCAATCAACCCGACTTTCTTCACATTTAGTAAACAGTTTACAACCTCCGAAGCACTACAAGGTTGTTTATGACAATAATAACCTTGAGTTGTGGAGTTTCGAAGCTTGTAAACTCTAACAACCTCCCCCCCCCCCACCATTATTGTGGAAAGATGTACAGATTTCGTAAATGTTCGCGAAGAAGCCTTGATGAATCCTCACCAGCAGCGGTGACCTTCACTTCCATACTGTTGATAACCTTAAATAAATGAGAAATTACAATATATATAAATAGGGAACTAAATATATCAACACTAAAATGAACAAGAAGCAATAGATTGCGTAACTTTATAATTAAAAAGGCCCTGGGTAAATACTGGTTTTGGGAAGAGGGCTGTAGGTGTATTAAACTCATTACCGGGTAATGTAATAGGCTCGAGGGATACCGGATTTACTTTCAGGTCAGGAGGAACACATAATAGTGAGCTTGGTTGCCTTGAGATGGTTTCGGGGCTTAGCGTCCCCGCGGCCCGGTCCTCGACCAGGTTGTTGTATATATACAATACAGGAATCTGCCTACCTGGGTTACGGGTTCACCATAGCCCGTGCTACATGGACATTTCATTCTGAGAAGCTAAATCTAAAACAGCAACAACCACAGCCTACCAGGAGCCAACAGGCCAATTATGTTTTGCTGGTTACGGGGATCAATGTCCCCCGCGGCCCGGGGTCTTACCAGACCTCCTGGCTGGTTCCCTGGTTAATCAGGCTGTTAGACGCAGCTGCAGGTACTCAGACGTGTGAATCACCTCTCGGTTGATCAGGTATCCTTCGAAGATGCTTGGCAAGTTCTCTGTATAAGACGCACCTTATGTTCAACGGAAGAGTGTTGAACACAGTTGACCAGACCACACACTAGAAAATGAAGGGACGACGACGTTTCGGTCCGTCCTGGACCATTCTCAAGTCGATTGTCTCAAGTCCTGGACCATTCTCAAGTCGATTGATAGAATAGTCTCCAATGGCAACTCAGCTCCTTCATTCTTATCCTGTGACGTGTATTATGTGGTCAGCCACATGCTCGCCACATACATCCACGACAGCCACTATGTATGCGGTTGAACTAAACCACAAGCTTCAGATCTCAGCTGCTACAGTCACGTCATTCGACACTAACCACTAAGGTCTCGAAGCGGGCTCGAACCGGCGCATCCGGATACCACCGAACTCACCCGCCAGTCATCCGAACACAACCGAACTCACCCGCCAGGGTCATCCGAACACAACCGAACTCACCCGGCAGAGTCATCCGAACACAACCGAACTCACCCGGCAGAGTCATCCGAACACAACCGAACTCACCCGCCAGGGTCATCCGAACACAACCGAACTCACCCGCCAGAGTCATCCGAACACAACCGAACTCACCCGCCAGAGTCATCCGAACACAACCGAACTCACCCGCCAGAGTCATCCGAACACAACCGAACTCACCCGCCAGAGTCAACCGAACTCACCCGCCAGAGTCATCCGAACACAACCGAACTCACCCGCCAGAGTCATCCGAACACAACCGCGTCCTTACCCAACCAGCTCCGTCGCAAATTGAATCTCCCGCACAAATTTACTTTCTATAAAATGTGAACCATCCTAGAATCGGGAGTAATTTCTCGCTCTCCTCAAGTGCCTGGTTCTACCTCCCTCCCTCCTTCCCTTCTCCTTCTCCTTCCTCCCTAACTACATCTCTCTCTCTCTTCCTCTTCCTTCCCCAAAAGAAACCAGAACCATTTTGTTACCTAAATGGAACTCTCCACATTTTTAAAAATGAGAATCATCGATTTTCTTGAGCGTCAAAATTGCCACTTGAAGAGTTGTTATGGAGGTGACCAGCTTGAGTCGCTTCCTCCTCTTAGAAAAATATATTAAATCTTGGAATCGACGAAAAAGATGAATGAGCACTTTTGCTTCACCTATAACAATAATAATATTTGTAAAAATGTATAAAAAAAGAAAGAAATCAATACAATTTCTATATTTTTCCGATTTCCTCAAAAAAAATTCTGCTTTATTTACTCTGGGAGAGATCTCAGCCTGCATGGGAGGTGGTCACGCTGGGAGTGGAGAACCTAGCCATTAGTACAGTTGGGAGCCCGGGTTCGATTCCCGGGGCAGGACAGAAATGGTCGGGCACGTTTCCTTGCACCTAATGCCTCTGTTCACCCATGTAGGTGAATACACTCTGGCTGCCTGTCCCTCGACTCAATGAATTATTATTATTATTATTTTGAGGCCATATTAAGTATTTTTCTTTAGTTACCTCTGGTAACATTTCATTTTCTCTTAGTATAATGATAGAAAAACTAAATTCTGATATAAATTTGGGGGATAACTATTGATTTGTATTAAAATTCGGCTCTTTTCCCAGGATGCAACCCAGAACTGTGACCTAACGACCATATATCTATTTTACTGCTAGGTGAACAGTGGCATCAGGTTAGAGGAAACGTGCCCAACCGTTTCTGTCCTAGAAGAGGTCTGAACCCGGGGTCCCTTATTTGTAAGCAGACGTAGATGTATACCACTATGTTACAGGAAGCCAAGCGTCCTGTAAACAGTTCTCATGTCTTAGTCAGACTTGATGGCATTCTTACAGAATCCTCGTCTTAAGAAAGCCTATTAACTATGTCTAAGTCTTGATCCTGTCTAAGATAGTCTTGACTATGCCTCATATACTCCCAGGAACACTTTGATCAACACCTTGTGTGGCTCAGGAACACTTTGATCAACACCTTGTGTGGCCCAGGAACACTTTGATCAACACCTTGTGTGGCTCAGAAACACTTTGATCATCACCTTGTGTGGCCCAGGAACACTTTGATCAACACCTTATGTGGCCCAGGAACACTTAGATCAACACCTTGTGTGGCCCAGGAACACTTTGATCAACACCTTGTGTGGCCCAGGAACACTTTGATCAACACCTTGTGTGGCCCAGGAACACTTTGATCAACACCTTGTGTGGCCCAGGAACACTTTGATCAACACCTTGTGTGGCCCAGGAACACTTTGATCAACACCTTGTGTGGCCCAGTAAGTCGTGTACTCATTCTATCTTCTCTTCATTTTTTTTATCGAACCTGTCCTCCTCCTCCTCATCTCCTCCTTTCGTCTCCTTATCTTTCTCCCCCTCCCATTCTCTCCCCCTCTTCCTCCCCTCTCCTTCTTCCTCCCCTCTCCCCTCCTCTCCCCTCCCCACTCCTTCCCTACCTCTTGGGCTGGTCGACCTTTTCATCTAAGTTTGTTAATGCTTCCAATAAATCTGCTAATGCAATTCTGAATTTGGACAAGTCTGCTCTTTCTCTTCCAGTGGCAGGGTGGTATTATTACCCCTCTCTCCCTTCCCTCTTCCTCTCCCCCCTTCCCTCTTCCTCTCCCCCCTTCCCTCTTACTCTCCCCCTTCCCTCTTCCTCTCTCCCTTCCCTCTTCCTCTCTCCCTTCCCTCTTACTCTCCCCCTTCCCTCTTACTCTCCCCCTTCCCTCTTACTCTCCCCCTTCCCTCTTCCTCTCCCCCTTCCCTCTTCCTCTCCCCCTTCCCTCTTACTCTCCCCCTTCCCTCTTCCTCTCCCCCTTTCCCTCTTACTCTCCCCCTTCCCTCTTACTCTCCCCCTTCCCTCTTCCTCTCCCCCCTTTCCCTCTTCCTCTCCCCCTTCCCTCTTACTCTCCCCCTTCCCTCTTACTCTCCCCCTTCCCTCTTCCTCTCCCCCTTCCCTCTTACTCTCCCCCTTCCCTCTTCCTCTCCCCCTTCCCTCTTCTCTCTCCCCCTTCCCTCTTACTCTCCCCCTTCCCTCTTCCACTCTCCCTTCCCTCTTCCTCTCTCCCTTCCCTCTTCCTCTCCCCCTTCCCTCTTCCTCTCCCCCTTCCCTCTTACTCTCTCCCTTCCCTCTTCCTCTCCCCCTTCCCTCTTCCTCTACCCCTTCCCTCTTACTCTCCCCCTTCCCTCTTCCTCTCCCCCTTTCCCTCTTCCTCTTCCCCTTCCCTCTTCCTCTCCCCCTTCCCTCTTCCTCTCCCCGTTCCCTCTTACTCTCCCCCTTCCCTCTTCCTCTCCCCCTTTCCCTCTTCCTCTCTCCCTTCCCTCTTACTCTCCCCCTTCCCTCTTACTCTCCCCCTTCCCTCTTCCTCTCCCCCTTCCCTCTTCCTCTCTCCCTTCCCTCTTCCTCTCCCCCTTCCCTCTTTTTTTCTCTCTCTGCCTTGTATTGCCCCCTCTCACTGTCACTGTCTGGCACTCTTCCCTCTCACTCACTGTCTGGCACTCTCTCCTCACCCTCACTGTCTGGCACTCTCCCCCTCACTGTCTGGCACTCTCCCCCTCACTGTCTGGCACTCTCCCCTCACTGTCTGGCACTCTCCCCCTCACTGTCTGGCACTCTCCCCCTCACTGTCTGGCACTCTCCCCCTCACTGTCTGGCACTCTCCCCCTCACTGTCTGACACTCTCCCCCTCACTGTCTGGCACTCTCACCCTCACTGTCTGGCACTCTCACCCTCACTGTCTGGCACTCTCACCCTCACTGTCTGGCTCTCTCACCCTCACTGTCTGGCACTCTCACCCTCACTGTCTGGCACTCTCCCCCTCACTGTCTGGCACTCTCCCCCTCACCCTCACTGTCTGGCACTCTCACCCTCACTGTCTGGCACTCTCACCCTCACTGTCTGGCACTCTCCCCCTCACTGTCTGGCACTCTCACCCTCACTGTCTGGCACTCTCCCCCTCACTGTCTGGCACTCTCACCCTCACTGTCTGGCACTCTCACCCTTACTGTCTGGCACTATCACCCTCACTGTCTGGCACTCTCACCCTCACTGTCTGGCACTCTCACCCTCACTGTCTGGCACTCTCCCTCTCACTGTCTGGCACTCTCACCCTCACTGTCTGGCACTCTCACCCTCACCCTCACTGTCTGGCACTCTCACCCTCACTGTCTGGCACTCTCCCCCTCACTGTCTGGCACTCTCACCCTCACTGTCTGGCACTCTCCCCCCTCACCCTCACTGTCTGGCACTCTCACCCTCACTGTCTGGCACTCTCCCCCTCACCCTCACTGTCTGGCACTCTCCCCTTCACCCTCACTGTCTGGCACTCTCCCCCTCACCCTCACTGTCTGGCACTCTCCCCCTCACTGTCTGGCACTCTCACCCTCACTGTCTGGCACTCTCACCCTCACCCTCACTGTCTGGCACTCTCACCCTCACCCTCACTGTCTGGCACTCTCACCCTCACTGTCTGGCACTCTCACCCTCACTGTCTGGCACTCTCCTCCACACTGTCTGGCACTCTCACCCTCACTGTCTGGCACTCTCCCCCTCACTCTCACTGTCTGGCACTCTCCCCCTCACTGTCTGGCACTCTCCCCCTCACTGTCTGGCACTCTCACCCTCACTGTCTGGCACCCTCACCCTCACTGTCTGGCACTCTCACCCTCACCCTCACTGTCTGGCACTCTCACCCTCACTGTCTGGCACTCTCCCCCTCACCCTCACTGTCTGGCACTCTCACCCTTACCCTCACCGTCTGGCACTCTCACCCTCACAGTCTGGCACTCTCACCCTCACTGTCTGGCACCCTCACCCTCACTGTCTGGCACTCTCCTCATCACTGTCTGGCACTCTCCCCCTCACCCTCACTGTCTGGCACTCTCACCCTCACTGGCACTCTCACCCTCACCCTCACTGTCTGGCACTCTCCCCTCACCCTCACTGTCTGGCACTCTCACCCTCACCCTCACTGTCTGGCACTCTCCTCCTCACTGTCTGGCACTCTCCCCCTCACCCTCACTGTCTGGCACTCTCACCCTCACTGGCTGGCACTCTCACCCTCACTGTCTGGCACTCTCTCCCTCACTGTCTGGCACTCTCACCCTCACCCTCACTGTCTGGCACTCTCCTTCTCATTGTCTGGCACTCTCCCCCTCACCCTCACTGTCTGGCACTCTCCCCCTCACCCTCACTGTCCGGCACTCTCACCCTCACTGTCTGGCACTCTCCCCCTCACTGTCTGGCACTCTCCCCCTCACCCTCACTGTCTGGCACTCTCCCCCTCACTGTCTGGCACTCTCCCCCTCACTGTCTGGCACTCTCCCCCTCACCCTCACTGTCTGGCACTCTCCCCCTCACCCTCACTGTCTGGCACTCTCCTCCTCACTGTCTGGCACTCTCCCCCTCACCCTCACTGGCACTCTCCCCCTCACCCTCACTGTCTGGCACTCTCCCCCTCACCCTCACTGTCTGGCACTCTCCCCCTCACCCTCACTGTCTGGCACTCTCACCCTCACCCTCACTGTCTGGCACTCTCACCCTCACTGTCTGGCACTCTCACCCTCACTGTCTGGCACTCCCCCTCACTGTCTGGCACTCTCCCCCTCACTCTCACTGTCTGGCACTCTCACCCTCACTGTCTGGCACTCTCCCCCTCACCCTCACTGTCTGGCACTCTCACCCTCACTGTCTGGCACTCTCACCCTCACTGTCTGGCACTCTCACCCTCACCCTCACTGTCTGGCACTCTCACCCTCACCCTCACTGTCTGGCACTCTCCCCTCACTGTCTGGCACCCTCACCCTCACTGTCTGACACTCTCACCCTCACTGT